CGGTAACGTCTATCTACCCGTGTGCCCTCTCCTCTCCGTGAAACGCGGATTCCTTGTGCCCAAGGGGCCTCACGAGGTCCCTTGGGCACAAGGAAGAAATGGCTGGGGCCACAAGGATGCCACAAGGAATTTTCCTTGTGGCGTTTTCACATTTCTTTTTCAATTTCGTCCCCAAGGACAGGTGGAACGAGCGCGTCCTTGTGGATTTCACGTCCCCAAGGAGTGTCTAACGAGGCCCTATGTTTGCGTGCTTGGCGGACGTGCTGCCACGACACAACCAAACGGAAGTAAGGCAAAATATTCCGGCGGCAGCCACAACGTCGGAAAGTGGTGGGATCTGAAAACTACACTGTAACTGGGCTGTAGTGTAGTGGTGGGATCAGACCCAAAACCGTGAAATATTCTTCAACTGTCAGACCATTTTCGACATTCACTCGACACAAAGGCCACCTTTGCCACATCGCATGTCTAAGACCCAGGGGGAAAAAAAGAAGAGGAAAAAAAAGAAGAAGAAGACATCGAGTGATGAGGCAGCGTCAGTACCCGGACCCTGACAGGTGTCGAAATCCGCAGGTTGTGACCGGTGTAGAAATTCGTACATCCTTCACAACGTCCCGTCCTAGAACCCACAAACTTGTCCAACCACTTCTCTGACAAATGTGGAAGCGTTTTCATCATTATTTCTTAGGCAGTCTGTGTGGCGAAGAAACAGTGTAGAAAAGTCCACTTTGGACATTGGTGTGGGGGCCCCCAATATTTGCCATTTGCGTGTGTAGTGAGTGGTGGAGCGAGGGCCATCTTCAGAGTGATTTCTTTTCTTTTTCTTTTGGTTGGTTCATCAAGCTGACTCACAGTGAGAAGTGAATGGTAGGTAACCTGGGAGGCCTCGGCCTTCTCGATCCAAGCCGCCAAAATACAGCCCTTTTGTCAAAATGGGTAGTTAAAGCAGCAACCAGTGACTTTCAGGACCATTGGATCCTCCTGGTGGAACAGATGCTGGCAAACGACTGGAACCTCCCAAGATAACAAGATTTATGGACATGCTGTATGCTGGATTCCTTCGCCCGCCAGAAGACCAGGTCTGAGTTTTGGAATGGTGTTCTGAAGGCCTGGAGGAACGTGAGACCTAAGGTCTGGGTCCCGCCGGTCACTATGCAAGAAGTGCTGTCCCAGCCTATCTTCGACAATCCGGATATTCGATGCTCAGAAGGTGGGCAGAGAAAGGAATATTGAGAATCACAGATCTTTGGAACGAAATCACTGCCCGGTGGCACTCTGCACCGACTCTAAGAGATAAGCTGGGGCGCTTGGGACAAGTGGAGGAATGGTACACGGAAAGCCATTCCTCCAGAATGGCATTCGTTGCTGAGCCCTAGGGGGAAGGACCCCCCGGGGACCTGGTTTATAGAAGACTCTGCGCCTGTGATGCGCAACCTCACACCCCGCGCCGTCCCGTACCCGCGAACGTCGATCAGAGTAAATGGGGGTGTGGCTGAGGATTTTTCGCCGGTGGGGTTGAATCGGCCGGGCGGAAGGCGGGATTCTTGTTTCGTACCGAGGCAGGTCTTGAATTTGGGTCGTCGTCAATGGCAAAAGAGAGAGACCAGGGAAGGGAAAAGAGGTTATTTCGAAACGAAAGGTTCTGTCCGGTTTTCAAAAACTTTCGCTCGACCGAGAGGGCTGCAAGCGGCGTGTGATGTGCTTAACCTCACACCCCGCGCTCCGTTCCGTACCTCCAACGCCGATCAGAGTAGTTGGGAGTGTGGCCGAGGATTTTTGGCCGGTGGGGTTGAATCGCCCGGGCGAAATGGGGGATTCTTGTTTCGGTCCAAGGGTTGCCTTCTGGGGTTCGAGCCAAAGTCAAGGGCAAGGGATGGAGAGAAAGATCATTCCGGATCAACCATCAACAAAAACACAAGAAGAGAAACAAACGGAAAAAGAAGAGAAAGACAAGGGAGCGGAGTTTTTCCGCTCCCTGTTGCGCCTGATTCACGCGAACCTTGGGGCGGTCACTCAGGAATAGGGAATTTTCAGGCCTCGGTGTCAGATTCGTCGAGCCCACGCAGACATCCTAGCGCGGGGTCGCCGAGAGTCGGGCGGGCCGAGCGAACCCAGGTTCGAAAATTAGCCGGGAGCGCGCTCGCGTTGCGAGAGAGTTCTGGGAATTGAGCCCCACCTTCGTATCCCTGGACCAGTCATCGCCAGGAACACAAATCTCCCTGGCGACACCAGCCGCAGCTAAACTGAGGCCGCCACATGTCATGGGCCTCGAACCATGGCAACACAGTTAGATCAGTGTAGGGCAACATCAGGGGAGGGGAAGAGAACCGATCAATCAACAGAAATCTACTCCCTCCGATGTGGCAGGCCCTGGCGGGTTTATGCAGATGAATCTGCTCGGTTTGTTGCAGAGTGCTCCGCATGTCCGCGTCGCAGTACACTCTATCGTCATCTGCGATGGGGAAGGTCGGCAGCACGCTGCGATGGATCGATACGAAGGTTGAGCGCGGGCAGGGACTCACACTCATGTCCGTCGAGACAAACGCTACCTCCATCCAAAGGTCATTAAGACCCGCCTTCCCCCCCTCTCTCTCTCTCTCTTCATCAACCTGAATGCTGGGTCGGGGGTCCGGGGTCCTGTCGAGTTGCGGAGATATCAGCCACGTCACGGAGAAGCCAACGACTGATCTCCCCGGTTATCGAGTGTCCCGGATCTCCTACGCACATGAAGGTGAAGAGAAAGGGGCGAGGTCAGCACCAATCCCATGCGTATGCGCGGCGCGGGGATCGGAAAAGGGGTCGGGGAAGGGAAGAAGGTCCAACACACTCACACATCCATGCATATGATCGACACCCAGCAATCCCCACAAACGCGTATGTAATCGCAAACACACATACTCATCCAGCTCCACTGGACAATGAGACATTCAGCAGCCATAGACCCTCATACCACAACATGCATTCAACAAAATACCCCTACTGTGGAACCTTGCACACAACACATTGACAAAGCAACAATGGAGAAAAAAGCGAGCTCTTCCGTATACAAAATTCCTTATATGGCTAGTCGCCTTGAGCCCAACCCAGTCCATTGGAACCACCGACAACCATAGCCACAAGGCCCAGCCGCTACCGGCGTCTGATCTCTAACACTGCTCACTCCCTCCAACTGTCTTACCCCAAGTCTACCGCTAAGTCTGTCCCACGTCGTCATCCCGCCCGCCACTTGGGCTCGTCAAGCCTGTTCGACGCCGCAAACCTCTCACATAGTTGGCGCAACATTGCATCCGAAAAGAGAGCGAGAGGAAGGGGCTGCGGGAATTTATAGTGCGGAAGGCGGCGGGGTGTCAGCTTGAGGTGGGGGCAACACGAGGTGTAGATGAGCAGGATAGAAGAAGGGCAAGGTTCTCGAAAGATCGAAGGATGTGAGTCTAGCGTTCTGTGTGATTGGGGTGGTCGTTCAAGTGTTGCGCGCTTCCCGCTTTCACCACATTGATCTGACTATCCCAATCACACAACCAATCGCTCGCGATGATGGGTAAGAAGAGGATCAGACCTCGTTCGAGGGAATACTAAAAGGCATGCAAGAAGGGAGTGCGTGGCGAGAAGGGAAGATGGCGTGGGGATGCCAAGTGGGGGAACGGGTTTACACGGCGTGCAAAAAATTAAAAAAAGCCGCACGCGTAAAAATAAAAATTCCCACCCACACCAATTCCTAATTGTTTCTTGGACTTTTCGGCACGGTCGCTAACCGACCACGCTAAAGGTCGTGAGGGGCAATTCTGGAAAAAGAAAAATAAGTTTTTATTTCGTCCCCCTTCTCTTTTTAAGAAGGAAAAAGGAAAAAGAAAAGAAAAGAAAAAAAAAAAACCGGTTTTACCGATCACCTAGAATCCGTACTTCGAGGCTTAAGTGGGATTTTCCCTTTAAGGGTACAGGAAGCCGCTGAGTACGAATCATGGCATATGACATCTATGATGCGCAAAGGGTTCCGAAAAATCATCAGTCTCCTGTCTGCTGTGGTGGTGTCCTAATTATTCTGAGGATCTAGGCGGCCCCTTCATCATCAGCTGCCCCGGATCGTGTCCTAATCTACCTAGATGCGTCCCGCATCATTGTCGATTTGTCCCCCGATTATACACCCAATCGGACGGCCTCTTCATCGTCCGCTGGTTGGATCGGTAATTAACTGACCATCATCATCTTTTTGTTTTTTTTACTATTATTTTCTTTTACAGCGTGTGTTGAAGTATGACCTTTCTGATTAAAAAGAAGAAGAAGAAAAGGTTCAGAGGAAGTGGTCGATCTCAGGGTTGAGAGGGAAAGGAAGAGGGGGAAGAAAGGTTGCCAGCGCAGCCTGAGTCGTCGGCGCCTCCACTTCGTTGAAGTGGTGTTGGACGAAGGAGGGGTAAAGAAAGGCCCCCGACACGTGTGATAGGACATGTGGCGCCAGATCAGCAATGGCCCGGATGACTCGTCGTCGCACCATGCAGTTCCTGGGGCGCGTCATTACGAAATGGGTCTCGGTATAGGACCTCCGCTCCCTTCTGAGCACCGCGAGAATGAGGAAGTGATACGTGATGTTCGGCCGCCGGGCGGCCTTGTAAATGACCGTTCCCGCCATTCTGGCCGCCACGCATCCCTCAAACGGCGGCTGTAGAAACGACATCCACGTGGGATCAAGACGGGGGGCCCCGCCGATTGCTTCAAGCCTGATCATTGCAGGCTCCGGCATGAGGTCGACGTCGATCGGGTCGACGCTCCAGTTCGGAGGAACTACTAAGGTCAATGACCGAGGCACCCTGAAAGGTCCTGCGAGGATGGGGGGTCTAGATGCGGGATATGGTACTCCTCCCATTCCTCCTCCTGCTGCTGGTGTTGACGGGTCAGCTCCATCGAGATTGAGGTCCGGGAGGAGTGGCGATGGCGGTGTTTGCTCCGGGTGGCCTCAGCGTGTCTGCGATTCGCTGGTCCTGACTCCTTCCCCAGGCAGAGTTCCCTCTATCGGTGTGGCTTTACTCTTCGGAACGGGGTCAGACTTCCGGGCAGGCACTGGCTGGACTACTTCTTCCCCTGGTCCTACTTAGCTTCCTTGCTATTCCGACGATGGTTGCCGACACCTCTTCTTGAGGGCCTTCCTTGGTGTCTTCAGGGGCGCTGGTGTTGGATAGGACAAGGGAGGACACAACTGCTTCTTTGAGGTCTATCACCTTTTCTCCCGTCCGCACGATGTAATCCGGTATGACCACCTTGTGGTACATTCTTGTTGGAGCCGATGTCGCCCGTAACCGGAGTTGGAGGTCGCCTTCCTCACTGGCGATCACCTGTGCAATGGAAAGCAGCTCGATATGGATAAGCTCCAACAGTCCCGGCCTGTCCGTTCCAATATTACCGAACAGGTATAACGTCACCGTCCCCTCCTTCAGTTCCGGCTTGGGTTTCGCAATCACGTAGTACATGAGCAAATGCTTGCCAATGTTGAGGTGCTTGTACTCCATGTCGAATTGGAACATGCCCAACACCACCGATTGGTATAGCGCCCGATGCAACTCCCACGGGTCTTCATTTGCGAATGGCAACGACTCTATGTCGACCAGCTCCACCAGATACTCCGAGGAGTTACGCATGGGGTAGGGCCGGGACTCTCCTTTAGTTGGTAGGAAAGGGTGGTATAGGAGAAGAAGGGAGGCATTTAGTATGAAGGAGGGGGAACGGCTTGCCAATGGATGTTTAGGGGGTCAGGGGGGGGGTGAAAGAGTGCGGGTAGTTGAGGTACTGGCACCAGCTCGTCGTCCGACACCCGTTAAAACAGTGTTTTGTAGGTCATGAAGCGATGGTCAGCCCGTCCCTGCACCCGTGCCACCGATCTAGCCACCTGCACTACGAAATCCTATAGAAACTTTCGTAACGGTTCTCGAACCCGCTCCACCAAGGGCGTCAAATCGCTGATGAGCATGGCCACGATGTACGCGAAGTTGGAAGCCACTTGAAGCGCGCAGAATTCAATGAACACCCTCATCGATTTCCCTCCGGACAGGTGCATTACATCCACATACACCCCCGCATACGTCACCCCCTCACATAGGAGCGAATACGTGGCAAGATCCGCAATGCTAGGTCCAGATATGTTCAGTTGCTGGATATCATACCACAACTGCTGATCGTCATTAAACTGATGCAGCAACAGGTGATCCGCGATAGGCGCCTGGAAATGTTCAATCGGCTCATGCTCCTGCTGGCGATGGCTCATTATGGGTGACCGAGATGGAAAGAAGGAAAGGAGGAGTCGAAAAGGGATGGTGTAGCCGTGACAACGGTCCGCTCTTATCCCAACGATGGCCGAAATGGACGAAGGGCAGCAGCGTGGCGAGTCAGAGGCCTTGCCTGCGTGTTGTGCCTTGGGATGAGCGTCACGGAGTGCTGGCCTTATGCGCCAACTTCCGTCACCTCGTAAATGCCAGTGTATCGAGGATGGATCTTGGAGGAGCACACAGATTTCTGTACTTGCACTAAATCCCCGATTTTATAGAGGGGCAGTGGGCCCGCTGATGCGTGTCGGTTCTCATAATTCCGGATCTATTGTTGATGGGTATGATCCACGGCCTTTTATTGCCTCCAGGCCAACGTGGGGTAGGTCCTAGACATTAGGTCCATGTAATGTTCAGCATTGTCTCTGTGCTGAGCCCAGGTCGCCCTAACTTTCGTACCCACTAGAGATGACAGCTGGACCCGAGGGACACTATTGGTTCTCAACTGCAACCCACCCACCCACC